ATTTTTGGATTACCGATCCATACCAATGGTTTATTATGCCAGCGGGACCCCGAGTGCCGATATGTGACCCGGAATCTGAAGACCATGCGGGAACACTGGCGTAAGGTACACCAATGGTCCCAGTATTCTGGCCGCGGTCGCGTTTGTCGTCTACAGCAGGAAGAAGCCGATCGTCAGCTAGCTCGATCATACATTTCGGTTTCGTATCAGCGCATATTTCCTACCCGGCAGGGATCTCAGAACATTCCTATCATCAGCGAGGAGAACGTTCCATTCAGTACCCCCGACACGATTGATCAGGCGTTGCAGGAGGTCGAGACTGCGTGGACCGAGGCGCAGGCAGCGCAGATACAGGAGACTATTCAGGCGTGCGAGATTACCGACGCGAACCCGTGGCTGCGTATGACCGGCTGGTCTGAATACCTGGAAGCCATCGCTCCCCACGATTTAACTCGGGTAATTGCTTCGCCCGAGAAGGATCCGACTGAGCCCGAGAATCCGATCGAACAGGGAGTCCGCCGGCTGTGGACTACAATGGAACAGCTAGTCCGTAAATGCCAGCGAACGGTCCGGTACAGTGGTTCCGCCATCCGGTTTACCGCGGTACAATCAGACGCTGGAGCTGCCCCGCCGCATCGGCCGCTGCAGGCATACATGGACGCAGAAAGTATTGCCAAACATGTCCAGCCGTGGCAGCGGATCCTCGCGTTTATTGCCCGCACACAGGCTCCCCACGAGTGGACCAGCCCGCCGTACGGGATGACCCCCCGGCAGCGCAAACGGTGGCACCAGCTATGGGTACTAGCCGTACAGCCGTCGCAACCCAACGGCAATGAAGGTATCGAGGCCGAGGAGGCCGACGAGATGGCGGCGTGGCAAATGAACCCACTGGAGCAGCGATGCTTGGAATTTTGCATTGAGCTGCTGAACCAGAAGCAGCGGGGGTACGAGTATGAGAGCGTGCTGGTCTGCGCCATGGCCGTCCAGGGCTGGAGTTACGACCGCTGGCGAAATGCCGAGAGTTACCCGCCGATCTTGTCTCGCGTGATCAAGGTGGCTCGGTTTATGGTGGTACAAAAGGCACTGTGGCTGGACCCAGACCCGGAGACTATTATCCAGATATGGCTGCAAAAGGCAGACTGTAACCAGTGGGCATTAGCCAGTGCCGATAATACGCTGGAAGATATCGAGCCCGATGACGGATATTCCAGCGAGGCCGAGGCAGACCGGCCCCGATATCTCCCCGGATTTCTGCCTCCGTCATCCCCCCCCACATCGTCCGTGCGATCTAACAGCCAGGAGTCACAGCCGCTAGTTGCCACCCCCCGGATCTGCCGCACGGGCAAGTCGTTCCAGGAGCAGTTGACATCGATGGTACAGGCGTTTATGGTACGGGGGACAGCCGGACCCATGCAGACGCTGCTAGACTGGCGGACATACGGGCTGAAAATCCATTACAATACTACAGCCGCGGAACATATTACCTGGCAGGGTAACGAGGAAATCGGATACCAGCACATCCAGTTTACCATGGGCGATTTCCGCGGCTTCGTACATGGGCTGGTCGGGGCCGCTCGGCAGAAACTGTGTGATATTCTCGGTGTCAGCCAGACTCACGAGCTGCCGGCTATCCCGTGGCACGCCATGTACGACGATCCCACCCAGCGGACGGTGGGATGGAGCTTTTTGAAGGACGGGCGGACGCAATGGCCGGTAAACGGGCCGCAGTGGGTCCGGGATCGGCTGCGGACCGAGCCGGCCATGCAGGCCCGATTTACCGTCCGGCAGCGGCGGCAGCAGCTGCACCCCCCGGCCGTGGCGCAATACTTCCAGCAGGTGGTACAGTTCAAGGAGAAGCTGGCCGTCCTAGTACAGGTAGTTGCCGGGCAGCCGGCTCGGGCCCCCGAACTGTTGAGCATCCAGCATATGCATACTATGACCAACCGGCAGCGCAATATATTTATCGAGGACGGGCTGGTAGCAATGGTCAGTGCATACCACAAGGGGTTTTATGCCAGCAATGACATCAAAGTGATCTACCGGTATTTACCGCGGGAGGTTGGAGAGCTCGTGGTGTGGTATTTGTGGTTAGCGCTGCCATTCGTCCAACAACTCGAGGCGTGGCAGATATGGCACGAGTCGCTGTCCACTACCAACCGGGCTCCCCTCAGCCGGGAGGATGCGTTTATTTGGGGACCCGATCCCGGGACGCGGCGTCAATGGTCATCCGAACGACTGCGTGAGACATTCAAGCGCGAAACGAAGATAGCACTGCGTCACCCGATCAATATCCAGGCATACCGGGAGCTCGCTATTGGGATCAGCCGGCGGTTCATGCAGCCATCCAGCGCGTTTGTGCATAACCGGCAGGAGGAGCAGGAGGTCGCGGCACAGGCACTTGACCCAGACGCTGAAGACGGAATGGATCCAGAGCAATGGATGGGCCATATCGCGGATCTGCAGGCAGCACACTCGTCCCACTTAACCGGTACCGTATATGCGCGAGAGATCATGGAGCAAGCCGGTCCTACAGCTTACCGGCGGCAGATATTTCGCTTGTCCAGTACGGATTGGCACCGATTTTTAGCATTTGCATCCGCTGTTATACCGTCCGCCGAAGTCCGTGGCCAGCGGATACGGTCCCCGTGGGAGGTCGAGGCCGAAGAAAACTAGGTAATGCGGCGTTACCGGCTGCATATTGCCGATATGGGCCAGGAGACGGCCGTACTGCGGGGGATCCAGGCCCCGGCCATCCGGGCTACCCAGGACGGGTCGAGCCCGGTGGTAGCAGTTATGCGGACAGGAGGCGGTAAGAGTATGCTATTTATGCTGCCCGCGTTCGTGGAGCCCGGGGGTACGACAATTGTCGTCGTTCCGCTGGTCGCACTGCGGCAGGACATGATGTCGCGATGCCGGGCACTAAGCATTCCATGTGTGGCGTGGGAGAGCCGGCGGCCGCCCGACGAGGCAACCATTGTGCTAGTTACGCCCGAATCAGCTGTTACCGACGATTTCCAGACGTTTATTAACCGGCTGCGGCAGATACGACGGCTAGACCGTATCGTGATTGACGAGTGCCACACGGTATTAAATAACCAGCGCGATTTCCGGCCAGAGTTGCGGCAACTAGGACAGTTAAATTACGCCCGCACGCAGATAGTATTATTGACGGCTACGTTACTGCCGCAGCTGGAGCCCACGTTATGGCAGCAGATAGGATATTTGCCGGACTTCGTGCATTTGTTCCGGGATCGCACCAGCCGGTCCAATGTCGCATACCGGATCTGGGAGCCCGACGTCCCGCGCCGGACGGGATCCGCGTGGGTGACTAGCGAGCCGGTAGTCACATTCATCCGGGAACGGATTCAGCAGGCACAGGGTGGGCGGGTCATAATATACGGGTCCGTGGTAAATCAGGTCGTTGCCGTGGCGGGCGAGCTGGCATGTGAGGCATTTTACAGCGCGCAAATTGATAAATCGTCCATTTTGCAGCGGTTTATCGAGGGCCCGAGCCGGGTGATCGTCGCCACTAGCGCACTGGGGATGGGAGTAGACATTCCCGACATCCGGAGTATCATTCACCTGGGCAGACCGCGGTCATTGCTGGAGTACGCGCAGGAGAGCGGACGGGCCGGCCGGGATGGGCAAACCAGCGAGGCCATTATCATTCAGCCGGCTAGATGGGGCCACCCCGGACCCGATATATCAACCGATATTGCCGCTGACCAGGAGCTGGTCGACCAGTACATGGAGGTTGAACCCGGGGTCGGATGCCGACGATATGTTTTAGACGGATACATGGATGAGACGGTAGACGGGTACAGCCGGCGGTATTGCCAGGATTCCGATGTCCACGAGATCGCGTGTGATGGATGTGATCCCGATTGGATGGCACAGGAGTCCATGGTCAGCGTATCCCCATCCCCCGGTCCATTGGCCAGCCAGGAAGCGAGCCACCCGGATTGGATGGTACATGAGTCCGTGGTCAGCGTATCCTCATCCCCCGGTCCATTAGCCAGCCAGGAAGCCAGCCAGGAGGCCAGCCATCAGGTCAGCCAGGAGGCCAGCCATCAGGTCAGCCAGGAGGTCAGCCATCAGATCAGCCATTTCAACACCGGGTCCCCCAGCCCGTCCGCCAGTGAAGCATCCGGTGACTCGTTTGTTACCCAGCTCCAGCATCCATCGCCCATCCCGTCCGCAAGCCCCCCATCGGGTCCATCAGATCCCAATCAGCCACCCCGTGCGAAACGCCGCCGGACCGACAGCATCGAGCCCCCGCCCCCCACCGAGCCGCCCACGGTAGATGTCGTCGAGCGCCAGCGCCAGCGGGTGCAGGCCCAGCGCCAGGCCGCCCCGCACGTCACCCGCCAGGCCATCGACGCGCAGCAGTGGCTGGATGAGGAGATTATCGAGCGGGAGGTGCCCCCGTGGCAGCGGCGGTGTTACATATGTACGCTAGGAGGGCACGATCGGTACGAACACGAGCTGTATTTTTGCCGCAATCCGGAGGCCACACGGGCCCAGGCGTGGATGCAGGCCGTCCGCAGCCAGCGGATCCGATATGCCCCGTATTCGGCGTGTTTCCGCTGTGGGATGCCGCAGACCATTTGCCGCCAGTGGGACCAGAGCGTACCCCGGCGGGGAGATTGCGTATATAAGGATATATTGGTTCCCATGACGGCAATGATGTTGTTCGGACCGTGGTACGACCAGATCCAGCCGTTGTGGCAGCGGCGCTTGCGGCAACACGAGATAGATAGCGAAGATATCGGGCAGGTAGTGCGGTTTTTCGGGCAGGCCACCGACGGAGCCCGGGGGCAACACAGCCAGTTGTTCCATACATTTTGTTGGTTGTGGCAGATTTGCAAGGAATTGGAGGGCATCCACTGCACACCCGGAATCCGGCAGTTTATCAGTTAGTGAATACATTTGATAATGCCATATGGATATTGATTTTGATCCCATGATAGCGAGCATGGTATTTGGCCCCAGGCACAGGGAATCCAGGGCTTATGGCAGCAACGATTGCAGCAGGCCGTAGAAGCAGGCCCGAACGAGGCCACGAAACAGGGAGAAACTATAAATAAAGCCATACACGGAGTAGGTCCCGAATAATGCTACCAAGCAGGCCCGTTAGCCGATAAGTAGGTAGAGCGGGAGACAGATCAAAACAGATTGGTCAGTAGATCGGCAAATAGGCAGGTAGATAGACAGGGAGATATATAGGTAGACCGTAGAACAGACTACCAAGTCAATAGGTAGGACGGTAAACGGGCCGGTAGCTAGACGGCCATAAAGGTAACCGGTCAGAAGATAGGCAGGCAACCGGTCAGCAGATAGGCAGGCCGGTAGATAGGTACGCAGGCCCGAAGCAGGCCGGTTGGCAGGTAGACCGGGAACAGACTACAGAACAGATCAGTTAGCAGATAGGTGGACAGGCGGATAGGGAGATAGATAGGCAGGCAGACATGGAGGCCAGTTAGCAGATAGACTGGGAGACTGGGAACAGCCCATAGAACAGATCAGTTTGGTAGGCAGGCAGAATATCAAGCAGGTAGGTAGACAGCTATAAAGCTAACCGATTAGCAGATAGGCAGGCAGACCGGAAAGCAGACATAGAACAGATCAGTTAGTAGGTAAGCAGGCGGCCAGGTAGGCCGGTAGATAGGTAAGCAGGCCGACAGGCCGATAGGTAAGCAGTATTAGTAGAATAGATAGGATTGTTGAATAGATAGGATTGTCGGATATGTAGAATGGTCGGACAGATATGATTGTAGGATACATAGGATACATAGGATTTGTAGGATTGTCAGATAGATAGGGTTGTAGGATACATAGGATACATAGGATACGTAGGATTGTCAGACAGATAGGATTGTAGGATATGTAGGATTGTCAGATAGATAGGGTTGTAGAATACATAGGATACGTAGGATTGTAGGATACATAGGATTGTAGGATTTGTAGGATTTAGGAAACGTAGGATTGTAGGATACATAGGATTGTAGGATTTGTAGGATACGTAGGACTGTAGGATACATAGGATACGTAGGATTGTAGGATATATAGGATTGTAGGATTTGTAGGATTTGTAGGATTGTCAGACAGATGGGATATATAGGATACGTAGGATACATAGGATTTAGGATACGTAGGATTTAGGATACGTAGGATTTAGGATACGTAGGATTTAGGATACGTAGGATTTAGGATAGATAGTGTTGTAGGATTAGTAGGATACATAGGATAGATAAGTTTTGTAAGATAGATAGAGATAGTAAAATAGATAGAAATTGTACAAAAAATAGGATTAGTAGAATTAGTAGGGTAGTAGAATAGAAAGATTTATATGATAGATAGGATTGTAGAATAGATAGAGTAGTAGAATAGATAGAGTAGTAGAATAGATAGAGTTAATATAATAGATAAAGTTGGTTTTAATTGTTTACATTAGGGTTATATTTAATTTTTTAGGCAAATATTCAAATTTACGTAATTTGGTCAGACATAATATAGCAACGGGTTATTTACATAATTAACGTAATGCGGGATATATGGCATTATATATCATTAAATAATATTTTGAGGTATATTGGTTGCCGTCCCATTAGGGTTACAAAAAGATAATACGGTTGCCAGCTGGAATAGTCAGATCGGATTCGGGTTTAACAGCGTAATTCCGGCATATTTATATATTGTATTGATGCAGAACAGATAGTTCCAATTTTACAAGATTAAGATTGTAGAGTATAGTATTTAGGGTCGATTATCCCAAGATCAGATTCCAGACGGTCAGGGTTTATATAAACGTTTGTCATTAGTTTAATCCGGGTTGGAGATTATAAAGGTTGCAAATTTATATGTGAATTACAGATTTATATCAGAGTTGCATATTTACATTAGGGTTACAGTTTACTTGAGAATTGCAGGTTTATATATTTTACATGTGAATAGCAATAATATCAGGTAGTTAATTTTTAAAACAGATAGGATAAAACAATAATTTTAAAAGATCAGAAAGAATATATAACAGTAAAAACAATTAAAATAATATCCAAAAAAAATGATAACAAACAAAATACATATTAGAGTTAATAGTTTTATAGTTATAAGTTACAATAAAAGCCAATAATTACAAATAAACTAAACAGGCAAGCGATAATGTTTAATATACAGAATAATATATTGCAGTAAATGTATTACAAAAGTTTACATTTAAATATTTAATATTAAAATAATTAAATAAAAAACAAATAATAGATTAAAACAAAACGTAATATAACAAGATAGAAATAAGAAAACAGAATTAAAAAGAACAAGAATCATTTTAAAAAATAAAAGTAAGAAAAACTGAAGTATAAAAATAGAATTAAACAATTGAAATAGTAATTAAATTATAGGAATTTAATAATGAATAATAGGTAATTGGATTAGTTAACAGATCGATTAGCAGATAAGCAAACAGACCAGGTAGAAAGTAAATAAGTAAGTAAGTAAATAAGCCCGGAAGCAGACCAGTTAGCAGATAAATAAGTAGAATTTTAAAATAGGTCATAGAAAAAGCAGATCACGAATAAGGCTACAGTAGGGTTACATAGCCCGTTAGCAAATAGGCAGATAGGTAGGCAAGGGCCATAAAACTGGTCAGTCCGCAGATAGGCAGGTAAATCAGGAAATAGATCAGTAAGCAGATTAATACGTAAATTAGTATATAGCTTAGTATACAGGTCAGCACACAGGTCAATACGCAGGTCAAGATATAGATTACCAAATAAACAACCAAACAGGCCATCCGACAGGCCATCAAACAACCCATTTAATAGGCCAAAACAAGGCGTACAAGGCAGGCCCGTTAGCAGATAAACAGGTAACTGAACAGATTAGTTAGTAGATAGGCAAATAGGTAAGTAAATAACAGGCAGATAAACAGACAGGTTAGTTAACCGGCAAATAGATAAGTAAATCCAGGAATAGATCAGTCAGTAGATAGACAGGCAAATTATAAAATAGGTAGTAAGTAAATCGGTAGGCCGGTAACGGGCCGGAAAGTAGACAGCCATAAAGTTAACTGACTAGCAAGTAGATAGGTAAACAGGCCCAGAAGCAAACCCGTTAGCAAGTAGGCAGGCAGAATCATAAACAGGCCATAAAGAAGTAGGTCCCAACGAGGCCACAAAACAGGCCCGTTAGCAGATAAATAAGTAGGCCGGAAGACAGGCCATCAAACAGGTTAGTTGGTGGATAGGCAGGCAGATAGGCGGAATGATAAAACAGGCTATAGAAGAAACAGGCCCCGAACAAGGCCACAAAGGAGACCGGTTGGTAGGCCCGTCAGCAGGTAGATAGACGGAATAATGAAGCAGACCGTAGAAGAAACAGGCCCCGAAAAAGGCCACACAACAGATCCGTTCGTAGGCCCGTCAGCAGGTAAGTAAGCAGACCAGAAAACCGACCATAAAATAGATCAGTTAGTAGACAGGCAGCTAAGGAGGCAAATAAATCCAGCATCGAATCCGAATAAGATATCAATATTTTTTCAGTATATATATATATATATATATCCATTGATCGATAATCCATTCCCCCCCAATCCGATCCCGTTTAAGGTTATATGGTGCGGTAGGTTCACGGCCATAAAATTAAGTGATTGGTAGGGGACAGACCATAGAACAGCTCAGTTAGCAGATAGACAGGCAGATAGGTCAGGAAACAGATTGGCACACCGGTCAGCACGCAGGTCAACAAGCAGGTCAATATGTAGATTACCAAGTAAACCCCCAAGCAGTCCATCAAATATGCCATTTAACAGGCCATAACAAGGCCCACAAGGCAGGCCACAAGGCAGGGAAACGAGCTATAAAGAAAGCCATAAAACAGGCCCGTTAGCAGATAAATAGGTAGACCGAACCGATTAGTTAGTAGATAGGCAAATAAGCTGGCAAATAACAGGCAGATAAGCAGACAGGCCAGTGACAGGTAGATAGGCAGGCAGACCGGGGAACAGACCATAAAACAGAGCAGTTAGCAGATAGGCAGATCGAGAGGCAGATAGGCAGGCAAGCCAGTTCGAAAGTAGATAAGTAGATAGATAAGTGGGTAGGTAGGGAGGTAGGTAGGTAGGCCCGGGAGCAGGCCAGTTAACAGGTAGGTAAGCAGAATCATAAAACAGGCCACAGAGGAAACAGATCCCGAATAAGGCCACATTAGGGTTACATAGCCCGTTACATTAGGGATAAGGTAGGTAAGGGCCATAAAACTGGTCCGTAAACAGATCAGTACACAGATAGACCGGGAAACAGACCATCCCACAGATTAATTAGTCGAGAGACAAATGGAAAGGTAAATCAAGAGGCAGATAAACAGACAGGCCAGTTTACCGGCAGATAGATATGTAAATCCAGGAATAGATCAGTTAGCAGATAGACAGGCAAATTATAAAGCAGGACAACAAGTAAATCCGTAGGCCGGTAAACGGGCCGGGAAGTAAATAGCCATAAAATTAACCGATTAGCAAGTAGATAGGTAGACAGGCCCAGGAGCAGGCGCGTTAACAGGTAGACAGGCAGAATCATAAGTAGGCCATAAACCAGTAGACCGGGAGACAGACCATGAAACCGGTTAATTGGTAGAGAGACAAATAGGGAAGTAAATCAACAGGCAGATAGGCAGACAGGCCAGTTCGAAAGTAGATCAGTAGATAGGTAGGTGGGTAGATAGGCCCGGGAACAGATCAGTTAGCAGGTAGGTAGGCAGAATGATAATACAGGCCGCCATAGAAGAAACAGGCCCCGAACAAGGATACAAAACAGACACGTTCGCAGGCCCGTCAGCAGGTAAACAGATAGGTAAACAAGGTCATAAAATCGATCAATAAGCAGATAGGCAAATAAGCAGGCCAGTAAGTCAATTATAGTAATCCG